TTTTTTAGCGGTTCTCGACGACAAGACCTTACGGTCTTCTACAAGTTCCCGCGTTCTTTTATTTCTTAATAACGATCATGTATATATATATATACATTGTTAACGAATATTTATTAAATCACAAAGTTGTAAAATTAAAGAACGAAAAAAAAAAAAAAAAAAATACCATTAAAAAGTCACAAAGAAACATTTCCGATTTACTTATTTATTATAATATATTATAAGACCACAAATGGACACTGTGCAGGGATTTAAAAGTTATTTTAATGGAAGTTATTTAAAGGAAGAAATCTTTGTTGGACCAGACATTAGAAAACTTATGAAAAAATGAAAACAAAAAAAAAGACAGTATGGACATCCTATAAATTAGTTGTTACCGTTTTCCTAGGAAACAACAAAGATCCAAACTATAAGGCCATTGTCGCAGACATGCTCGAGAACTTTAAGAAACTAGTCTGTAACATGAGCATTAAAGTTCATTTTCTCCATTCACATCTTGATTACTTCCCTGCCAACCTTAGTGACGTAAGTAAAGAGCAAGGCGAAAGATTTCACCAGACGTCAAGAAAATGGAAAGAAGATATCACGGAAAATGAAACGTCAACATGATAGCGGACTACTGCTGGATGTTAAAGTGAGATGATCCTGAACAAGTCCATAGCCGGAAAAGCAATAAAAAAGATTCAACAGAAAACAAAAAACGTTAATATAAAGACTTATAAGCTGAAAGAGAATTGTAAGTGTTCTTGAAATATAGTTTAGAAGTTGATTTATACATAAAATGAAATTCTATAACGTTTGAAAAATGTGAAAAATTGGTCGAATTTTGTTATTTTATCCAAAAATAATCCCTTTTTTGTGAGAAAACCTGACGTGATAGAAAAAAATGGATTGCATTTTCGAACTCAGCGCTGAGAAATACATAAAAAAACAATTATCAAAATTTAAACAACTTTTTAAAAATATTTTTTGTAGTAATGTGTAATCGATTTTGTAGACGACTTTTTATATAATTTGAAATTAAAAAAAAAAAATTTCACATCCTACTTGGATGCATGACAAAGTCAAGATATACGTATAAGCCAAAAATAAATGGCCGTATGATTCAACAAATAACTGAAAAGTACTGAAACAAAACATTGGAACAAATAAGAAAACAATTAAAACAGTAAGTTTTGTTTTGCAGTTTTTTTCATTTTCTTCCAACTGTAATTTTGATAGCTCTGTGTAACTTTGATATCTTTTTTGTTACAACTTGCATAAATTTCAGCTAAATTAAAATTTAAAAATTTCAAATTCATCTCTTAAACCGTAGAATTTTCAATCTCGTCAACTTTGGGACATTATATTGCTTCATTATTCAACGTTTTTTTGTTACACTATCTTTGTTTTTTTGCACCTCCACACAATTTTCTTTCATTACCGGTTTTTGCATTTAATCTGGTAGTTTTTTGCATTTAATCTCGTGGTTTTTTGCATTTAATCTGCTTGTTTTTTGCATTTAATCTGCTTGTTTTTTGCATTTAATCTGGTGTTTTAAAATTTATATCAATTTTATAACGCATGTTATGAATTGCTTAAATAGTTTGTAATAAAAAATATTCCACATGCCCCAGTTAAAAACAAACTTAGATGTGTAACAAATAGTATAATCCAATACCATTGAATAATAATATATTTTTAATATGTTTATATATATATATATATATATATATATATATATATATATATATATATATATATAATATATATATATATATATATATATATAATAATAATAATAATAATAATAATAGAGTTTGATTATTTGAAAAAATACAACTTTTTGATGGTACTTGAAGTTTCATGCCCTTCGGCAATCATCAGCCATATTTTATTCTTTTTAAAACAAGAAAAACCGTTAAAAAATACAAAATACAAAAATTAACAGGAAAAACAATAACAAAGCAATAGAATGAGTTCTGACGTCAAAACAAAATTTTTAATTAGAAAATTGTTTAATATATATATATATATATATATATATATATATATATATATATATATATATATATATATATATATATATATATATATATATATATATATATATATATATATATATATATATATATATATATATATATATATATATATATATATATATATATATATATATATATATATATATATATATATATATACATATATATATATATATATATATATATATATATATATATATATATATATATATATATATATATATATATATATATATATATATGACAAGAAAGCACTACCACCAGAAAATAATAAGAAAAATTTAGCAAGTGCTATAATGATAATGTTTTGCATTTTCGGTTACAACTTTTAAGGGTTCGCTGTCTAAATTAAGCGAACAGTTTCATGAAAAATCAAATTTTATTTGTAATTTGACTTTGTTTTCCGCATCTTCATATGTGTGCATATTTTCTTTAGAGACTGGTTTGATCGTTTTTTTTTACATTTCTTTTTCTAACGAAGTGGAGATAAATCATCAGCGGTGTAACTAGATACCGGTGATAGTTCATCCGTGTCAAGCAGCCTCTCACTGTGAAGGATTAACCTTTCACTGACTTAATTTTTCTCAGAGCATTAAAATATATTTATTTTGCTTGCTGCGTTTTAATTAATCAATTGAAATTTGTTTTGGAACTCGCATTAACAAAAAAAGACCATTGAATAAGTGCAACTGTACGAACGGCACGTGCGAAAGTACGAACGGCACGTGCAAACTGGTGTAAGTGCAAACTTGTTTAAATGTGAACTCGCATAAGCGTGAAGCAGTTGTAAAAACTGGCATTAGTTCAAACTGCTATAAATGCAAAGCATAAGTTGGCTTATGTGTGAACTGGCATAAGTCCACTAAAAGAATTTGAAAACATTGGCATAGGATTTGCACTTATACAAACCTTTGCAACTGCTTTGCATTTACGGCAGTTTGCACATATGCCAGTTTACGCATATGCCAGTTATCGCAAATTCTTTTGGCGCATTTATGTTGATTCGCATTTACGCCAGTTAAAAATTAAGTCAATAATAGTAAATTTTTTTGCCGCACTTATGCCAATTTACATTTATGTCAGTTCGCAATTATGCCAGTTTTTGCAACTGCTTCGCACTTATGAAATTTGCACTTATTTAGCCTCTCGATAAAAAAGACAACAGTATAACTGATGTTCTCATTAAAGATAAATCATGCTTTAAGTTCAAATTGTAGTCAAACTATCATTTTTAATATTTTAATATATCATTTTTAAGTTTGAAGTTCTTTGTGCCATATCTATCTTTAGCAACTTCTGAAATCGCCTCAGAAATGCAAGATGTAACAGAGCTAGTTATTTTTGTAATCTTTTTGAATAATTTGAAGAGTATAACTTTTATATAAAACTATAGTTAAAACAATATGATTTATAATAACTAAGCGTAATAGCAAGTAACTAAGTGTCACAGAATGTTCGGCAGTCGAATATTAGGTGCTTCGGCCGAGTACCTAGCCGAATATTCGGTATTCGGCAAAATCATTATTCGTGACATTTCTAATAATAATACCACAGCCCAGTGGGCATGGACGTAAAAAATACGTCTTTTAAACGTCTTATACACGCTTTGGACGTCTTTTGAACGTCTTGTGAACGTTTTGGACGTCTTTCGAACGTTCAAAAGACGTCTTTTTTAGGTCGATGCCCACTAGGAGCAAGTGTTTTGTTTGTGGCTTGTGTTACCATAAAACATTTTTTTGTGGGAAAGATTGTAAATTTTTATAAACTTTTCAAATAATAAACGTTTTGCAAAGTATGAAAGAGCATTTTGAATTGCAGCTGTGTTAAATCCAAGCTTTAATCTGATATGGTGTTAGTATATTCACTGAGAAGATGTAGCTCAATGGGATCAAAAACTTTCATAGCTTTTGTTTCATTTAATAAATTTACGTGGTTAATTTGTACAACTATTTAAGATGCAGAAGATACTTTTGATTTTTTAATTTTATTTCTACAATTTTATAAATATTAGCGAATAATCTAACCATTCCAAGTTTTTATATTCACTTTCAAACTCAAAGTTTTAAAAAGTGTTTTCTTGTACATTTTTCTTTAAAAAAAGATTTTTGACTTTTTGAGCTTCTAAAAATATTGAAAGCTTTAGCCTCTTGTGTATTACTGAGACAATATTTAAAAAAATGAGCTAATTAAAAATTATGAAAGTTTTGGTATCTTACCCTAAAGGCTTTTCTTTCAATAAACAGCCTTATATATCCTAAAAAACTATTTTAAAAAAAACTAACTGGAAATAGTAAATTAAATGTGACTGGAAATTTTGCAATAATTTTTTTATAGGACCTACTATTTTCTTTGTAAAGCAAGATGGAAGCAAAATTACGCTTTACCAAAAGTTACGCTTGGTCCAAAATACATATAAATCCTAATATGTCTCATCCATATGCGCAAAAATGTACTCAGGCAAAAAAAATTGTATTGGATTGTAGTTCTTAAATGATTATCTTAATGGAAACTCTTTTTTTGTTTACAAAGTATCTGTTTTGCTTGACTAATTCAAAAAAGGTTAAACTGTATTTTAGTTTTGACAAAATATATACTTCTATTTCTTGTGACTATGGTTAAAAGGTCATACATGTTTACATATAGTTAAAAAAAAAGTTTATTTATTTTTATGTGAAATATTATTTTAATAGTAGTTTGTTATTTCAGCTCTTTTTACATAATAGATCAAACATTTCAATCATCTCTTTTTATCAGTATTAGAAATGCATAAAACAAACAACTTAAAAAATTTTTTCAAAGAAGATAATAATAACAGAAAAAAATTGTAAGCAAGCGTAAGAAAGATCGGATTTATTAATTAAAGTTCCACAGTATTGTTCTTTTTCTTAAGTATAGTAAATTAAATTAGACTTTGAATCAATCTATATAATTATTAGAAATGTTACTTTAAAATCTATATTTTTTAATCTGCTAAAGATAAAGAAAATACTGGAGATTACGATTTAATTTGATGTTTATCGCTGATGTTAATCTTAAACCGCTGAAGCAAATTCAATATTTTAAGTAAAGCAGACAATTGGTACATAACTAAAAAATGGCTTTAAGACTTTCAAGAGGTTTTCTAAATTTAAAGGTACGATATTATTATTTTTATGATAAATTATGCAAACGCTATTAGCTTACTAACATTTGATGCTGATTATACTAATAAAATATTTTATAATAGATTATAATAAAAATTTTAAAGACTATAAAATAATGAGTATTTTTACGAGGTAAACACATACATACATACATACATACATACATACATACATACATACATACATACATACATACATACATACATACATACATACATACATACATATATATATATATATATATATATATATATATATATATATATATATATATATATACATATATATATATATATATATATATATATATATATATATATATATATATATAAATATATATATATATATATATATATATATATATATATATATATATATATATATAGCTCATATATTTTCAATTTTGTTTTTGTTGAGTAAAAGCCCTCGACTATTTCAAATATAAAAAAATTATTTCTGAAAATTTATTTACTGTTAATTGATTTAAATTGTATTAAACAAATACAAATGCTACAATTAAAAAAGTTTTTTAAAATAACTTTTTAACAAAGGAGTAAAGGAGAATAACTCTTAGTACTTAAGCTTCAGCATTTGTCATGTTATAAAATATTTAAAAAAATTGTGCAAATTTGCTTGACGTATTGTTAGGAGATAATACAGCGAGTTATACATTCATTCAATCGCTAATTACTCATTTTAAATTAGTAATATTTCAGAGTCATTTAGTACAATGGAGAATTACTCATCTTAAATAAGTAACTTTTCAAATTACTTTAGTATCCCTCAGAAATTATTCGTTCTGTTTGATAATCGTTTTTTTCAATATTAAATCAGTATCTTTGTTTTGTGACCCCCGATTCGTTTACATATATTTGTCACTTGAATGTACAATATTAATTTGTTATCGACGAGCTGTGAACAAATATTAAGTACAGTGAACAAATATTAAGTACAGTGAAATTGTGCACAACAAACACAAAAATTTTTTAGAATTTCACATATAAAAACAATTTTTTATTATTTATTATTTTATTTTTGAAAATTAAACTCTGTTTGTTGTGCACAATTTCACTGTATTTAATATTTGTTCACAGCTCGTCGATAGCAAATTAATATTTTACATTCAAGTGACAAATATATGTAAACGAATAGGGGGTCACAAAACAAAGATATTGATTTAATATTAAAAAAAGCGATTATTAAACAGAACGAATAACTTCTGAGGGATACCAAAGTAATTTGGAAAGTTACTTATTTAAGATGAGTAATTCTCCATTGTAAAAGAGAGAAATTGTGAATCTCAACAGTTACAATTACAGATTAACTCATTATTATTATTACAGATTATCTCAACCCTTCTTAGTTACCCTCTTCCTCCGTTAAAAAACAATAAATTAATTACACACGTATAGAGATGATCTAACCAATTATGATGCCACTGTTTGATTTTTTTTTTTGAAGTATAATATTGAGAAAGCATATATACAAATAATACGTATTGATGCACTTAAAAATTTCACAGTAGTAATTTTTCATTCAACTTTTATTTATACCCGTTTTTTTTTATAAAAAAAACCCACTACTTGGCTTTCTCAAGTTTTTTTAAAATTAAAGCATTTTAATCCTCAAATATTTTTTTATTGTTTTTAAAATAAAACGCTTTTTAAAAGGGCTTAGAGAAAGAAAAAAAAAGTTTTAAAGTTATATAACGGATTCTAGTTAAAATTAAATCAAATAGAGAAAATTGAATTGATCATATTTATAAGTAATTCATAGTTTGTAGTTTGTTAGAAAATTGTTTTAAACTTTATAAACTGTTTTCTTATTTTTTTTTTGTGTTTTCAGTAAACGCGTTAAAGTTTTTAATGCCTAGCCTTATTCTTTTTTTTCTTTTTTTAAATACATTACTGTATTTCCTACAGTTACTTTTTTTAAATACATTACTGTATTTCCTACAATACTTGTTATATTATATCGACTCCTGAACGTCTAGGGATAGGAAGAACTTTTTTGCTTTATAAGTATTAAGTAAAAAAGGTAAGCTTTCTTATCAAACCTCTATTCCGACAGTCTCCTTTAAGTTCTTAAACATGAAAAAGATGGTTCATTTAGTTCAAGACAACCTGCTCAAACCCAAACCCTCAGTAAATCCATGTACACTCACTGTGTCTATGGCTAAATAAGTCAGCCGATGTATGTACACTGCAAAGTGCCTATACGTATATATCCTAATTTGCTTATTCCCTAAAATCCCGCAAATATTTTATTTAATTTATATGAAATTACAAAAAACATACTCAATATCAAAATCAAAATAATTTTTTTTTTTTTTTTTTTTTTTTATATCAAGTGGATTACACATAACCAACTCAGAACAAAGAAAGTTTTCAAACGCAAAAATTTTAAATTATGAACACTATTTGTATTTATTTCACTTATTTAAATTTTTCCTATGTAAATAGGATATTCAAAAACTATTGGCTTATATAGCCAGGTTCGGATTTACACTTTCGGGGGCCCTAAGCCGAATTAATTTTCAGGGCATTTGGAAATATTTGGCAAAATTAATTTAAATGAAAACTGTTGAATGAGAACTGTTCATTGTTTGCTCATGTATCTACAATTGTTTAGTTAAGTGTTACAGCCAGCGTTGCCAGATTTTTTTTGCGCTAAAATGCCAAATGCTTGTCTAAAAAATGCCAAATAATGCCAAATTTTTATTAATAATGCCAAAAAAAATGCCAACTTTTAAAATAGCAGAAAAACTTTATAAAAAAACATTGAAACTTATTTATTAACTATATATTCAATAAAACTATTTTAAAAGTCATATATTAATCAGTTTTAACATATTTTTTATATATTTTTCAATAAAAAAACGACGTTTAACATAGATTATTTATGTATTTATTAAATAGATAAGTATGTTCACTCAACTTTCAAATAAATATAAATCTAAAGTTAAAAAATATGAGTTAAAGAAAATTTCAAATTCTGTTAAAAGAATTATAAAAAATGTCTCAATATCAAACTTCCTTTAGTTTAAATCATCAATTAGAGTGAGATCATCTTCGACTAATTCATCATCGTCAGAATACATGTCCGTTCCCAATTTAGTTAACATTTTGTCACTGATTTTAAAGTCTTTACAACATTTGTTGCGGCTAGCAAGGTAGGCTTTTACTCGCACTACACTGCTGAGCAATTTGTCTGACATTCTGTTTCTTGGTTTGTTTTTAACAAAGGTGACCTGAGAAAAAATACGTTCTACAAAAGTGTTTGATATAGGGAGAACAAGACAAGTTAGGCAATAGTCTGCTAGTTCCTTAAATGCTGCATCTCCTGATGTATTTTTGTAGTGGCGAACTGCAGTCCAGAACTCAGTTGTATCTTTTGGTATACAAGAATTTTCAAACAGCTCCGTAGAAGACCAGTCAACCAAACTTACTTTTCTGTACTGATCTTCAATGTTTTGCGCTTTATCCTTCATAATATGCCTTAAAGGCAGATGAGTGAATGGCATTTTAGAACTTTGATGCAGAACCTTTGATGGTGAGAGATAAGATAGACCTTGAAAAATTTCTTTGTTTTCAGGTAGACGTTGATCAAGCTCTTTCAAAAGACGCAAAAGAAATTGAAGACAACGTGTTAGAACACTTTCAATGTTTTTTCTGGCTATTTCTTTTTGGGTTTGAGGATAAGTATCAATATATTTTTGGCAATCTGATAAAAACTTTGCCTCAAAGTCAACACGTTTTAGAGGCAGTTGAACTCCTTGGTTGTCAAGAACACGCTGTTGTAGACTTTTGTAGTGTAGGTTTAGCTCTGAAACTAGCTTCTCAGGATCCACATTAGTGCTTTGAAAAAGAGCATTCAAACGCTCAAATTCTTGAACATTTGGTGTCAAAAAGACGACATAAAGATAGAGAGTTTCATCTTTGAACATGTTGTTAATTGTTGTAACTCTATACCTAATGCAAGCAGGAGCTCGAGCTTCAGCACATAAGAAATAGGCTTTTAATTCGTACCAATTCACCATCAAATTGTAAAGACATTTCCCTCTGACGAGCCATCGAATAGCTGAATACTTTTGAAATGGTAATAGAGTTCCCATCCTTTCATTGCTTGGATCCATTGTCTGAAAAAGTACTTTAAACTCTTCTCGTCGAATGGAACTTTTTGAAAAAAATGAAGGAATTTCACTCAGCAGAAAGCCAACACTTGATGGCATTAATTCAAAGGAATGTTGAACAATGAGGTTCAAGGAGTGGCATGTACAGCGTATTAAAATACAATTAGGAGAGACTGCCCGAACACGAGACCAAACCGAATTGTGAAATCCAATGACATTTGAAGCTCCGTCTGAGCTATTATAGAATGCAGCTTTTAAAGACAATCCAACAGACGTCAACTTTGTTTCCAAAACAGCAAAAAGATCTGCACCAGTGGTTGATATCACAGCAGCTAAACCAAGAAAGTCATCGATAACTGATTTCTGTTCATCTGAATAGTATCGAGCACAAATGCAAAGATGTTTTGTCAAAGAGACATCAGTTGATTCATCAATCAGGATGGAAAAAGGTTTATTCAGAAATTTCTGATTCGATTAATGAAGAAATTACATTTTTAATAATTTGGGTACATTTGGTTCGATGCAGACGAAGGTTTTCAAGGGGACTATTTTTTCCATAAAGAGAAATGATTTCTCCAAGGTGATTTATCGTTGAAATGGGTGCATGACAACACACGCAAAGAGCAAGATGAATATCTGCTTCACAGTCTGCTTTTTTTGATACTAAAGGAAACGTAATCTGGCTTTTTGTGTTAAGATGCTTTTCTCTTGAAGCATGTCTAAAAGTACCACTGTGCTGTTCTACAGACGATTTCCGTGGTTGTATAGTCACACGACAAAGGGTACAGAATGCTGATTCAGTACCATCAGAGCTTTTTTTAAGCCAAGGATAATCCGCTTCCCATTTTTCAAGGTACTTTCTTGAATTTACCCTCGACATTGTGCTTAATGTTCTCATACAAATTAAATACAAACCAACTGAAAAAAAATCAATTCAACATTTTTTTTAAAAATGCCAAAAAAATGCCAAAATGCCAAAAAAATGCCAAAATGCAAATAAATGCCAACATGTTAAAATAATGCCAATTTTACTAAATTTGGCATTAAAAAATGCCAGTTGGCAACACTGGTTACAGCTTCTATATACATTCACTTCAGAATTCCTTTGTGCAGAAATAATCTGCAATTATTGTGTGGTAATGATTGCGCAAATAATTGTGTGGTAATGATTGCGCAAATAATTGTGTGGTAATGATTGCGCAAATAGAACTTTACAAAACGTTAATAATTGTCCAAAGGGGGAATCGTTGTGTAGCAATCACGAGAGTAATATTTTAGTAACTATAGTAACAATCTAAAAACACTTGCGAATAGTAACAATCTAAAAACCCGAATTGAAATATTTTTCGAATTGAAATATTTTTCGTCCTTGCGTCCAAGCGAATTGAAATATTTTTCGCCCTTGCGTCCATATGAATTAAAATATTTTTCGTCTATAGGTAAATCCGGTTCTTATTATAACCTTTAGATAAAACAGTTTTTTTAATTTAAAAACCGGTTTTTAAATGTGTCAAATATATATTAAAACTCGGGTTTTTTAAATCGGTTTTGAAAAACCGTCAAACCCTATTCTAAAATTCCCTTCTTTTGTTTTCATTACATTTTTTAAATATTTATTTATTATTTGTTTTGCAGTCAAAAACAGCATTAAAATATAATTTTAGTTTTGATAGCTGAATAAATTGATTAATAATAAAAAAAATTCTATTACAATTTTATAAATCATTTTGTCTTTTTCAGGTTCTTCGGAATGGACCACTTTTAACACGTTATATTTCAAATATTAAGGTACATTTGTGTAGTTTACGTATCATCGTATTAGTAAACATAACAATGTCAAAATATATAGTTAGATAAAATTATTGAATAACTAAGAATTAGAGTTATTTTATTTTATGAGTCAGTGATTTTATTTTATTGAGGCAGTCGTTTTTTATTTTTTTATAATGAGACAAATAACTTTGTTGCAATTATTAGTTTAAATATAACTAAAAATATTTCAAACTAATGTAACAAATTTTATTTTTTTCCGTTCAAATAATTTTGAAATTTCTTTGAAAGAATAAATTATTAGTTATGAAACATTTAAAAATTGTTAAAAACAAAGATTGCAATAATTTAATTGGTAACAGAGGCAATTCTACTACTAAGTTTAAATAAATGGTAACAGAGGCAATTCTACTGTCCTTAGGTATTGCAGAAATAAATGGGAAATGTTAAAAACTTAGTAAATAGTTTCGTGCACATTTGTCTGCACGTACTTGACCACTAAAGCGCATATGTTACCAGAAGCACGTTTAGTCTGGTATAAATAACTTACCTACGTGACTTAATAAAGTGTCTACGTGACTAGCTGAACGTTCATTTTGCTCTATAAACCATTGTTTTAGCGTTGATTTTTCATTCGAGGTCTCGACGCACATCGATCTACTATGCCAAAGAACACGGAGAGTTCAGTCAAAACTAGAAGCAATACTATAACCCAGGAGACATGTTGTTCCCAAAGATTCCGAAAATGTTCGGACAAATGTATAATAAGATGAATAATTCAGTGCTTATGTGTCCACGATCAATGAATCGCGGTGACGTAGTTGGTATCATCGTAACAACTCCTAACATCGTCTTTGGTCATGAATGGACATCAATTTAAATCGGCTGTATAAAAAGTTAAGCCAAAACTGGATGAACCGGAAAAGAACACAGTCGTTGACAACCTGAGAAAACGTCACTTTACTAGAAATCTCACCTACATTTGTTAGCCTATGAATTCAAGCTGAAGTGTCTTACGGTGTTGGTGAACTCTACTATGGATAAAGCAAAAAGTGCTATAGATTTTTGGATTTCAGATCATTCCGGAGATTGTATCATATTGTTAAAAAACCTAGACGTTGAGGACAAAAAAAATTTAAAATGTTGCGCGCATTAATACTGGACATCAATCATGCTATCGATAAAGTGTTTTGCTACATCAAGCACAGAAATGCTGAATATATCAGCTGGGCAAAAAGCATTTACGTCTCCGTTAACTTCAATACACATTCTTGAACATATTGCCCTAGCCAAGTTACTCTTACCAAGTCTTGCTAGTCACTCCGTATCCTTATACTCAGAATACAAAGATTGGATGGATCTTCAAAATATTGAACATTGCGAAATCATAGTTATTGTTTCTAACTATTTTGGGCGCATTGCAAAAATAGCTAAAGTGTTCATAACCAGGAGACAATCAATCCAAAACTTTTTTAAAGCGACTTTAGACAAAAACTTGAATAAACTTGTACTAGCCGTATCAGTTTATACACAAAATAATCAGTTCATTCTCTGTTCAGAAGTGTATGCCAAAGTAGGCAAGATGCTTATTTTTCCTACAATGGAATTACTTGGAAATGACAAGAAAAAAACTGACAAACCGAGAACTACTAAATATGGCTCAAACTGGAGCGATGTGCAGGAGTTTATCAAAGAAAAATTATTGCAACTAGAAAGAAGCTAGAAGCAATGCTGAATTTGGTAGAGAAAAGCTTCTTATTACTACCTTGACTGAACTTAAAGACACATTGACTTGACAGTTAAAAAAGATGGAAATTTTCTCTTTTCTTTCGATGCGGGGGAACTACATACATACAGACCGTTTCCAAAACGAATGTTGCAACAACTAATGGTTATTTTCTGAATTCATATTTTTTAGAACTTTTTGGAAACGAGAAGAAGAAACGCTGAAAATGAGCAAGGACTTTCTACGAAGTAGGACAAGTAAGGAAGTTAGAAACTGATATCTTAGCTACAGTTAAACATGATCGTCAACTAGCGGTGATTAAACGTTAAAAAATGAAGGTAAAAAAATATGAAAAAACTTTAGAGCTTCTTGAAAAGTGAAAAGAACATAACGGTCCCATAACTCCAAAAACTGTCCAAATTTCCATATTTCGGACTCGCTTTACTAGAAACAGCTGAGCAATCAAACTATATATATATATATATATATATATATATATATATATATATATATATATATATATATATATATATATATATATATATATATATATATATATATATATATATATATATATATATATATATATATATATATATATATATATATATATATATATATATATATATATATATATATATATATATATATATACATATATATATATATATATATATATATATATATATATATATATATATATATATATATATATATATATATATATATATATACATATATATATATATTTATATATATATATATATATATGTATATATATATATATGTATATATATATATGTATATATATATATATATGTATATATATATATATATATATATATACATATATATATATATACATGGCATTAACACTCAAAATAAAATTGTATGGAAAAAGCTTTGATAAAACATTTTTCAAGTTTGCTTGAGTTTATTTCTCAAAAATCTGAATTCTATATTGTTGTCATACCATTGAATCTATTAATATGCTCTACAAATTTTAACAGGGATAACAGGGATACCACCCATAAAAAACGTTTTAATATTCAGTATTCTGGATGCTATTAATATGTGAGAAAATATACCTCCATGTGGCCTGAAAACCTTTAAACTGATTTTTAGAGCTGCACTCTCTTTAGGTAACAAATGGGTTTTGCGATTCGCTGAGACACTAAAAACATGAGAGTTGAAGATTCGTCGTTAAAGAAGATCCGACGTTCTACATTCTAGGAAGAAAACAACTTAACTCAAAGTTGTCAATAGAAAGAATTATTTTTTCCCGTAAATCTTTGCTTAAACGGTTCTCAACAAGACAAAACTTTGATTGACGTCATACTCTGGTCTTTTCTTATCCAAGAGCCTCAAAACTTAGGACAATGTTAAATCAGAATTGGAATTTCCGAGCTTGTGTCTAAATAAAAAAGCAACAAGCCAATAGTATATATGACAGGTTGTACAAGGTTACATACAGTTCCGGTTACATACAGTTCCGGTTACATACAGTTCCGGTTTACATAATTTTTTCTATATTAAAGAGTCATAAAAAATAGAGATGCTTTCTGTTTCAAACAGTTTTACAAGAATGAAAAAATATATAATTCAAAAATTTATTTCATTTCAAAAATATTTAGTATAAAGAAAATATTTTTCATTTCTCTAATAATCGTTTTATTAGAGTTTTGTATTTGTTATGTTTTAATGGATCTTGAAAAGTGGCATTTGCTTTTTATCCTTTTTTCTTTACATATTAGAAATCTGTATACTTTCATAAAAAAAATGACATTGTTAGGCTGGCGTTTTCCATATTACGTTTCTTGCATTTCTCATCATGTTGCATACATGATGAGAAATGCATACATTGCATTCATGATGTGTATCTAGTTTTAAAATAAACTAAATGTAATTTTCCTGCTCGAAAGAAAACTTTTTTTTTCCAATTGATTTATTTTTCTTCTTGAATTCAATTCATCTTTACAAATACCCACAAAATTTGACATAAAAAAAAACCGCTTAATACATAATTACAGTTAAATTAGTTAAAAACTATGAATAAAAACTCTCGTAATTGCTAAAGATTATTTTGGAACTTTCTACACCGAAATTAAACTCGTCCTTGATTCTTAAGGATCATACAAATAGTAATCGTCGTACTTTTGGGGCATACGCTGTTCTCGAGTACTTTGTGGCAGGGCACCTCTGTTTCTTGGAATTTATTTTCACCTTTAATGTTTGTTTCTAGCACTTCTTCTTTACTTGTTCTAAACACACTTTTACTTTGCTCAACATGGTTTTCCGCGTTATCACAACCATAGTTCGTGTTCATTTCTACACCGACTTTAGAAATATTGTATAAAGTTTGAGTGTCATTTTGAGATCGAAAATAATTTACGCGACGCGGAACGCGGAACTTTCATAACTTGTTTCAAAATTATATATATATATATATATATATATATATATATATATATATATATATATATATATATATATATATATATATATATATATATATATATATATATATATATATATATATATATATATATATATATTCAAAAAAATTTTTCTGCACAATATAAATATAACAATTGACAAATAAGATTATTTTTTTCCACTTATTAATAGAAACCTTTTTTTTTTAACAAATAAAATTACAATACATGTTTCGACTATTTTATAGTCATCTTCAGTTAGGTTAAAAAAACTTATTTAATTTTATTAGCAAATATTATAAGGGAATAAATATTTAAATATAATAAATATTCTAATATGTTTTCGCCAAAGGATCTTCTTCTTGTAGAGAGTTAATCATCCGTTTTTATAAATTTGTATGCGAATAATGTAATTCTTGTTATATAGGCGAAACTTCTCACCACCTATAAACACGAATGATTGAACACTAAAGGAGAGACAAAAACTCACACATTTACAAACATCATGTTAACAATAATTGTTTTATTAATTATAATAATGAAAGTTTCTCAATATTGGATTCCATGCCTCCAATAAATATGAGCTTAAGATTAAAGAAAATTTGTTCATTGATTGGAAAAATCAAAATAAGAACATAGAGTTAAACTATTATAAAATATCACTTTTCACATAAAAGTTTCCATTTTATTAGTCGTTAACCTTTTGTTAAACAATTTAATAACTTTTTTATTGCATATTTTTTTGCTGTTGCCTATTGTCGCAATTGTTAAAAAAAAAAAAATTTAATTTATATTTTATTACCTTATAATATTTGTATATAAAGTTAAATAATTTTTTTAACCCAACTGAAGATGAC